TTTTGTCCACAAAAGAAATCCAGATCTGGGTTCAGCCCCCTCCCCTGGTCCTCGGGGCTTTGGATGGTGGCTCCAAAACGGCTCTCAGGGAGGTGGGAATGTGTGCATCGGTTTTCCTCTCCCGAAAGAGAGTTTTCCAATTCTCTTTTTCCTCCCGAGGAGAAAAATGCAAGCGAGCTTGTGACTGTCTTTTTTCCCCTTAATAAGGGGAAGGTGGATACATAACTAGGCCCTCTGCAGTCCTTGGTGGTCCGTGCGCTCGTTTTCTCACACACGTTTCGTGACCTGACTAGGTTACCTCATCAGGATTAGAGGGAGTGGGGTTTGCTCTCTGTTTCTATACCATGGCTTTGTCGTCGTTAGTTGTGAAGTTGTGTCTGGCCCATCGCAACCCCATGGACTACGTTCCTCCAGGCCTCCCTGTCCTCTGCCATCCCCCGGAGTCCGTTTAAGCTCACGCTGACTTGCTTCAGTGACTCCATCCAGCCCCCTCCTCCTCTGCCGTCCCCTCCTTCTTCTATTGTCCTCCAGCATTCGGCTCTTCTCCAGGGAGTCCTTCCTTCCTTCCTTCTCATGAGGTGGCCAAAGTCTTTGAGCAAGGGACTTCAAAACTTGGCCACTTTAAGACTTGTGGACTTCAACACCCAGAATTCCTGAGCTAAACAGGACTGAAGGAGGAATTCTGGGTGTTGAAGTCCACAAGTCTTCAAGCTGTCGAGTTTGAAGACTCCTGTCTTTTGAGTTTCATTACCATGGCTTACCCCAGCCTGGATGGTGTTCCCTAGTTGGGTTATGAAATGTCTGCAAGGAAACAACCAAACTCACAGAGTGCCAAGGACCCCATCGTTGTCGTCCTCCTCCTCCTCCCCTTCCTCCCAAACCCCAATCCTTTCTAGCACTGATAATGTTACCTAATTGGGTCATGAAACATCTGCAAGAAGACAAGTTCAGAGAGAACCATCAACCTCGCAGTCCTCCTCCTCCTCCTTCCTCTCCACAAACCTTACCCCCTTCTTGCACTGAGGGAGTTACCTAGTTGGGCCATGAAACATCTGCAAGAAAACAAAGCCAGAGAGCACCAAGGACCTCATAGTTCTCCTCCCCGCCCCCAAACCCCAATCCCTTCTTGCACTAATGATGCTCCCTAGCTGGGTCATGAAACATCTGCAAGAAGACAAGCTCAGAGAGCACCACAGTTCAACCCCGAGTCACAAAGGTTGTTCTCCTCTCAGTGACGAGCGAGGCGTCTACACACACATGACGTCCAGTTCACAAGCCCCCACCACCGCCTGAGGATCAACTTGCAGTCCCTAGGACGTGGGTTTGCAGAAGTGGGACAGCGAAAAGTCCTCCCGGCCCCGTGAGGATTGAGCCAGGGCTTCCTCTCCAACGGCTGTCAGAATGTAGAAAGGGGCCGACTCAGGCGCTCCTTGCGAATGTGCGGCTGCAGAACAGCCCCTGGAGCATTCCTGGCTTGAACCTGGCCAAGGGTGATGTGTTCAGGCGCCAACCCTGATCCTTCAGAGGCCTGGTTTGTTATTCCCGCCCCCCCCCCCCCCCCTTTTTTTAATGACAACTACTAAAACAGGCAGAGGGATATTTTATGAGTTGACACTGGCATGCACTTAACTCTCAGCCAGTCCTTGAGTATTGAAGACTTGTCCTTGAAATGAATACAAACTCCAGCTCCTTTGTCGTGCAATGGTGGTTTATTCGTTAGCTCAGCAAACAACAAATACTCTTCTCTGACAAGAAAGGCTAAAAGCCAGACAAGGTTAGAGCTGGGTTTGAGTTTGCTCCCTTTCCTTTTTTTAACCATTATCATGAGACACACCCCACCGCACCCAGGCCTATACGCAGTTCTAGTTATCCCTAAATGCTATTAACCCTGTAACATGTCTACATCCCTAACCTATTCCGACCCTCACTAACTGATCCCCGCCTGGTGCCACTTTTACCATGTCTTAACTCAATGCTTAATTACAACCTATATGTGCCCCAACCCCCTTTAACAACACGCACCACATCAATACATGAAAAGAGCCATTTCCAGCAGTCCTGCAGTTGTTGCAGAATCAATCCTCAGCTCTCCTCAGCTCTGCTGAGTCGTTCCAAAGCCATCGGCCAGCGCACAAGCAGAAATACAGACACTTAACAACAGTTGCAGGGTCCCAAGGACACGCGATCTCCTTTTGTGTCCGTGGGGAAGCCGGGATTCACTGATCAAACCGTGCGGCTAACTTTTTTAACAGCCGCAAGCGATCCGCTTAGCAACGGTGGCACGGAAGGGTCTTAAAAAGGGGGGCAAAAGTTGCTTTAACACCTTGCCTTGGCTCGTTGGCAAAAAAAAAAAAAAATTGGGGCTCCCTCGCGGTCGTAAGTCAAGGACTGCCTGAATTTTTCTTCCCCCCCCTGCCCCCCAATCTCTCTCTCTCTCCTCAGCTGAAGGAGGAGATGAAGCGCCAGAAAGAAGCTGCCGTCTTCAAAGCCCAACCCAGCCAGGTGCTACACCAGGAGCCTTTCCTTCCCAAGAAAGACAGCAAGCTGCTTTTAGGTGAGGCGTCTTCAGGTGTGGTGGCCCATCGGATGTGGCCTGAAGGTTTTTCCAAGTTTAACATTTCAAATAGAAAATAGGATAGGATAGGATGGAAATAGGGATAGAATCGAATAAGAATAGAATAGAATAGAATAGAATAGAATAGAATAGAATAGAATAGAATAAATAGAATAGAATAGAATAGAATAATAGAATAGAATAGAACAGAATAGAATAGAATAGAAATAAAGATGGGATAGGATAGAAAAAGAATAGAATAGAATAAAATAGAATAGAATATAGTAGAAATAAGGATAGGGTAGGGTAGAATAGAATAAAAAAGAATATAATATAATAGAAATAAGGATAGAATAGAATAGAAATAAGGGTAGAATAGAATAAGAATAGAAATAAGGATAGAATAGAAATAAGGATAGGATAGGAGAGAATAGAATAAAAAAGAATATAATAGAAATAAGGGTAGAATAGAATAGAAATAAGGGTAGAATAGAATAGAAATAAGGGTAGAATAGAAATAAGGATAGGATAGAAATAAGGATAGGATAGGATAGAATAGAATAAAAAAGAATATAATAGAAATAAGGGTAGAATAGAAATAAGGATAGAATAGAATGGAATGGAATGGAATGAAATAGAACAGAAATAAGGATAGAATGGGATAGAAATAAGGATAGAATAGAAATAAGGATAAAAGAGAATAGAAATAAGATAGGATAGAATAGATAATAGGAATAGAATAGAATGTCTAATAGGAATAGAATAGAATAGATAATAGGAGTAGAATAGAATAGAATAGAATAGAATATAATAATAGAATAGAATACTAACTCTAAAAGTTCCCATAGTTTCACCTGGTTAAAAATGGAAGTTTGACACATTCCCAAATCAATCGGTCACCTGGTCCAATCAGCATACAGTCCAGTTGCTAGGTGACCTGTCTCCTCCTCAACACCAATGCAATCCTAAATTGCATTAACAGAGGGATACAATCAAGATCAAGGGAGGTATTAATACCACTCTATAAAGCCTTAGTAAGGCCACACACAACAGAATGCATATAAGCTGGGTGAAATCAGGCTTAACCAGGCTTTCAAGAAAAGATTGGACTGCCCTTTGTCAGAAATGGTGTAGGGTCTCTTGCTTGGGGGTGGGGGGGTTGGACTAGATGACCTACCTACAAGGTCCCTTCCAACTCTGATTATCTGTAATCATTATCGAGCAGTAACTGTGAGAGGGATCTTGGAGTCTTAGCGAAATATGAGCCAGCAGTGTGCAGTGGCAGCCAAAAAAGCCAATGCAACCCTAAGTTGCATTAACGGAGGGATACAATCGAGATCAAGGGAGGTATTAATACCACTCTGTAAAGCCTTAGTAAGACCACCCCTAGAGTACTGCACCCAGTTTTGGTCATTACACTATAAAAAGATGTTGAGACTCTAGAAAAAGTGCAGAGAAGAGCAACCAGGAGGATTAGGGGATGATTGGAGGCTAAAACATACGATGAACGGTTGCAGGAACTGGGCCTGGCTAGTCTAGGGAAGAGAAGGACCAGGGGAGACAGGAGAGCAGCCTTCCAATATTTGAGGGAGGGGCTGCCCCAGAGAGGAGGAAAGGGGACAAGCTATTTTCCAAGACACCCGAAGGCCAGACAAGGAACAATGGATGGAAACGGAACAAGGAGAGAATCAACCTGGAAATAAGGAGGAATTTTCTGGCAGTGAGAACCCTCAACCAATGGAACAGAAGTTGCCTTCAGGAAGGTTTTCAAAAGAGACTGGACTGCTATTGATCAGAAATGGTGAACGGTCTCCTGCTTGGGTGGGGGAGGGTTGGACTAGATGACCTACAAGGTCCCTTCCCATTCTGTAAATCTGTTTAAAAAAAAACAACACCTGCTAGAATGTCCTTGGTTCCCAAGGGAAAGCCCTCTTCATTTGGGCTCCGGTACCCTTCCCAGCTATCTCTACTGCCCCCCTCCCTACCCCCAGCCCCCCGTGTGGGTCGGCCCCGAAGCAGAGAAAAGGAAACGGGACCATTACTCAACCTGGCGCTTCTCCTTTCTGCTTCTGCAGCCCCCGATCCCTTCGTGCTGGCCACCGAACTACGGGCCAAGGAGCGTCTGGAGTTCGAGAATCGGCTGGCCGAGCTGGAGGCGGAGAAGGCCCGGCTTCAGGAGGCCACCCGGAGGGTGGAGGAGGAACGAGCCAAAGAGGAGAGGGCCAAGCTGCGAGAAGAGCTGGTAAGGACACCTCTGCTTTGTAAGGGAAGTCCTCAACTTACAACGGTCCATTTAGCGACCAAAGTTACAACGGCACTTAAGCAAAGAGACTTAGAAACCGTGTTTCGCACTTACGAATGAGGCAAGCCTCCCCAGGGTCACTACGATCGAACCTCAGAGGCTTGGGGCAAGCGGCTCATATTTATGATGGTTGCAGCGTCCCTTTTTGCGACCTTCTGATGAGGAAAAGTCAATGGGGGGGAAGCAGGATTCCCTTAACGACCGTCTCATTTAACGGCTGCAGCCAGAAAGGTTGTAAAAAGCTCATTGAACAATTTGTCTTGCTTAGCCACAGAAATGATGGTCTCCTGGGGTTGTTAAGTGTTGGGGTTCACCGGCAGCTGGTGCAGACAGCAGCGGAATTGGACAGTGGGGAAGAACGGGGACCAGTCGAGGAATCTGGAGGGGACTCGGATGAGGGTTCTGCGTCCGCTGCAGAAATGGGGCCAGGACCATCTGGGAGTGGGGTGCTGCCTCCGGACCCTTTGGAGTCTGGCAGCAGCAAGGAAGAGGAACAAGGGGAGTCTGTTCCCAATGCACAGAGCTGCTAGAAGGCAAGAGCAGCTGAGACAAAAAGGGGCGACTCGGGAGTAAGGCTGGGAGGTGATTGCCCCTCCCATAAGGGACAAAAGTCAGTCCAAGAGGACGAAACCTTGCAGGAAGCAAAGTCGTTCGTTCGGTTCAGAGTCATTCTTGAAGCTCTTTGTACTTTGGTTGGTTTTTTTTTTTCTTCCTACTTCATTGGACGCTCCTGTTATTGGCAGCACTTGACAGGAAAGAAAGGTGGGTGCTTATCTCAAGGAACTGTTTGAGGTTCATTACCGGCTGGGAAAACAAACAATTCCCAGCGTTGCAATAAACGACTTGTTTTTAAAAGAAGCGTGTGCGTAATTACGGTTTCAGAAGCCTTGGTCAGAACATTAAGCGAATCTGGCCTCTCACATTGACTCTGCTCATCAGAAGGTCACAAAAGGGGATCACGCGATCCTCACAAATACGAGTCAGTTGACCAAGCAGCTGAATCTTGATCCACCTGATCATGGAGATGCTGCAACAGTCATTAAGTATGAAAAATGGTCTTCCGTCACTTTTTTTCAGTGCCGTTGTAACTTGGAAATAGTCACTAAATGAACTGTTGGAAGTCGAGGACTTCCTGTATTTGGACAGATGCAGCATTAATGGCAGGGGTCCACAACCCTCAGGTCCTGGACCAGTACCGGCTGTAACCTCTAAGATCTGGGCTGCGCAAGCAACAGGCACCAGTGACTGATGCTTCATCTATGCATGCGCAGAATCTCGGTGGCAAACAAAACCATTCTCCTGCCCCTGGTCTGTGGAAGACCAGTTTTCTTCCGAAACTGGTCCCTGGTGCTGTTCTGACCAAGGCTTCCTGAGGCAGTAACCATCACACGCTGTTCCCAAAGCCCCTTTGTGTTTTTTTTTCAACGGCTGTGAATTATATGCATTCACAGCCCATAATGAGTCCCACAGAGTTTGTGAATAGTCCAAGGGAAGTTCTGCCACAGTCCTTCGGGATAAGGCTGATAAGCACCCTCCTTTATCTCCCTGGAAATGCTGACAACGACTAAATTGCCCATTAGCTGTATGAGGCCAAACGGAGCACAAAGTCCACACAGAGCTTCAGAGTTTAAACCAACCAGAATGAACAAAGTTGCTTCCTGCAAAGGCTCACATCCCTTTGCTCCTCCTTGATGTCTTACGGGAGGGGCCAATCATCTCCAAGCCTTACTCTCAAGTCGCCCCTTTTTGTCTTAACTGTTCTTGCCTTCTGGCAGCTCTGTGCAGGCGCGCACTGGGAACAGGCTCCCGCTGTTCCTCTGCCTCACTGCTGTCAGATTCTGGAGGCTCCGGAGTCGGCACATAACTCCCAGGTGGCCCATCTCTGCGTCGGGCGCAGATCCCTCGTCTGAGCCCTTCCCAGACTCCAAGACTGGCCCCCGTTCCTCCCCACACTGTCCAACTCTGCTGCCTTCTCTGCAGGCCGCCAGCAGACCACAACAGGTGCCTGAAATGTTGGGGACCGCTGATTTGCAGCGTGCTAGCTGGGGAATTCTGGGCATTGAAGTCCACCCCTCTTAAATTGGCCACGGCTGAAAAACACTGCTTTGAACTGTGTTATAAGTAATACATCCCATTCAATATGAACTCCGAGGCAGGCAAATTCCTCAAAGAACATTTTATTGGGACATATCAAATTGGCAATGTTCCTGGTGGAAAACTGGCTCTTGGTTCCCGCCGGTTTTACACCCAATTAAAAGTAAAACTTTTGTCACTTCCCCCCCCCCAGAGTCTCCAATCAGCGTACAGTCCAGCCAACTCCAGGGTTGACACTGTGTCTTCAAAATTTCATTTTGATTTCATTTCACAGTAAAAAAAATGACAGTAAAGGTTGTCCTGTTTTTGTCTTGGTCTTTATCTTGTCCTTAATCTTTGTCTTTATTCTTCTTTTGTCTTTGTTTTTGTCTTGGCCTTGGATTTACCTTTGTCTGTTCTGACCTAGGCTTCCCAAAATCACGAAGCAGACCCCAACAAAACCCCTTTTATTTAGGCCAATGTCCAGCAAAGTCCTGGCAAACAGCCTTTCAAGAGTGGTTTACAACCACAGACCTTTATCAGCCTTGGAGAGTTGCCAGGCCGCCAGCTCCCAAACGTCACGCTGTAGCAGACAATACTTGGCAAGAATACAGGCACAGATCTTCACCCTAATGACTTGAACTAATTGTCTTCCGCAAAGCCCCACTCCCCTTTAGCTCCTCTTTTATTCCCTAGGGGAGGGGCCATTCACCGTCCACCTGTGGCTTTACTTCCAAGTCAACTCTTGTTAGCTGTTCCCTTCGTCTGGCAGCTCTGTGCATGCGCACACTGGGAACAGGCTCCAGCTGTTCTTCTTCCCCACCGATCTCCGACTCCGAAGACAGGTGATAACTGTCAGACGGCCCTGGCCCCATCTCTACCTCCGACGCAGAGCTTTCCCCAGACTCCAGGACTGGCCCAGGTTCCTCCCCAACCTCCTCACTGTCCGAATCTGCCACCGCTGGTGGGCCACAACAAGTCTTTATTCTTGTGTTGTCTTTGTTCTTGTCTTGTCTTTGACTTCAGCCAGCACCTCTATCCGGAGCAGGCAAGGCTGCCATTGTGACATTCACACTCACCCCAGTTTCCCTTCTTTTCTCCTTCCCAGGTGCACAAGGCCAACCCCATCCGCAAATACGCCAACGTGGAAATCAAGCCCAGCGACCACCCACTGACCGTGCCGCAATCTCCCAATTTCTCCGATAGGTTTCAGCGTTGAGCCCTGACGCCCGTCCGACTGCACACTCAGAAACTTCTTTTTCTGGTCTTTTTTTGAGACTTCTTGTCCTCCCCCCACCCCCCCACCCCCCCACCCCCAGTTCTCCCCTCCAAAAAAAGCAGCCCGGTTTGATCAGTTTTATCATACCTTTGAGTGAGTCTTTTGTATTTGCATTAAATAAAAAAATATAGATGAGGGAAATTGGACCCTGGAAAGGTTTCTTTCGGCCATTGTGGAGAGGGGGAGAAACTGTTATATTCTGTCCTCCTGGGGGGGGGGGGGGGGGTGATGCGCCATGCTCCCCCCCCACCACCACCTAACCGTTTTTGTAAGCAGCCTCTCCGCTGTGGGTTGCGAAGTCAAAAAGTGTTTTGTGAGTCCTGGAAGTGTGTCTTGTGTGTTGTCTGCATGGCTGATTAGGCAGGGGTGGTTTTCTACTGGTTCGGACCGGTTCCATAGAAGCGGTTGTTACAATTCTGCGCAGTTTCGGAGACAGGGTTGCCATCTGGCCGTTTTTCTGGCCAAATTCGAGAAATCTGGCCGTATTTCTATCTGCTTGGTTGTGAAAGAATGATGTCTCTGGCCAAATTTATTTGGCGGGAAATTTGGCCGTACGAAAGTTGCTTGGCCGTGAAATCGGCCAGATGGCAACCCAGCCGCTCTCCTTCCCTCGCGCATGTGCGTCACCATGAGCAAAAGGAGGACAAGCGCGTCCTCTGGCGCGCTCCTTCCCTCGTGCATGCGCAAAAAATAATTTGGCCGTATTTTGACTTGAGTTTGGCCGCAGAGCCAAACTGCGATCTGGCAACCCTGTTCGGAGAGCCGGCAAATTGCGCCCCTGGCTGGCCCTGCCCCTCTCCGCTCTCTCCTCCCTGCCCAGTCGGTCCATTATCGCGCATGCGCAACCGATTATGTTCTTCCCCCTCCCAGTCACTCCTTAAGGCCGTGATGGTGAACTTAGGGCACGCGAGCCGCAGGCAAACTTACCTCACTGCACAGGCAGGCGCTTCCCACCTGATTTTCGGCTGGTTTGAGGCCTTTTTCGGCCTCCCGGAGGCTTGGGAAAAGCCTCTGCAGGACAAATAATAGGCCCGTTTCGTCACTTCCTGTTAATACCGGAAGTTGACGAACAGGCCTATTCGGCCTGCAGAGGCTTTTTTTTCAAGCCTCCGGGAGGCCGAAAAAGGCCTCAAACCAGCAGTGTAGGTGGGGATTGTGCGTGCATGCGCAGGGTGTGTGTGTGGGGGGCGTGCATTGCCTTCTCGGTGCTGGCCCATGAGTGCCAGTGCGCACCCAATTTTTGGCACAGGAGCCCCAAAAAATGAGCCACCACTGCCTTAAGGTATTTCCTTCTTTTTTTTCCTCTCGACTATCAGCTGTTCTGACAATCGGCTGTGCTGGGGATCCCCCTCGCTATCTTAACTGCTTCGCCAAAAAGGGGTGTGGGGGTGTATGCAAAAAAGAAGAAGAAGCCACACCCACCCAGTCACATGGCCATGCCCACCTGGCCACGCCCACAGAACCGGTGGTTTAAAAAATTTGAATCCCACCCCCTGCGATTAGGATTTCCAATGAAACCTCCCCTTTCATTCAGCGCTCAGAAACAAGATCAAAAGATTAAAATTAAAGACGTCATACCGGCACGTCTGGGAAAGCCCGAATCTGAGAGTTCTGGGGTTTCCCTCCATCACGGGAAAATGAAAACTCATCCTCCTGCAATCCCCCCGCCCCCGCCCCCAGTCCATCCCATGCCCCAAACACCCATGGTCCCCAACTGGAGGCATTCCTCCAGCCACTCCTTTCCAGGTTCAGGGTGACTTGTCCTTGACTTTAGGAGGAGAATGTTATGTCTAAACTTCCCCCTTCCATGAAATTCCTCCCACCCCTCCCAAATTTCCAGGCACCAAGACGCGGCAGCGAGGAAGCTTCTGAGTAAAATATGGCTTCCAAAGCTGACCCTAAAAGCCTCCGCAGTACAGCTAGGCCTCGACTTAACAATAGTTTGTTTAGTGACCGTTTGAAGTTACAGCATCACTGGAAAAAAAAAGCGACGTAGCACCGTTTTTCACCCTTACAACCGTTGCGGCATTCCTCGTGTTCACGTGATCCAACTTCAGAGGCTTGGCAACTGGCCTGTACTTATGACGGGTTGCAGTGCCCCCGGGGGGGGGGTCACACGATCCCCTTTTGCGACCTTTTGACAAGCAAAGTCAAGGGGGAAGCCCACGAGTTCATTCAACAACCGTGTTACTCACTTAACGACTAGATTCCCGTGATCACGGTGTCAAGAAAGGTGGTCAAACGGGGCAAAGCTGGCTGGAGAAATTTCTCGCTTCGCAACATAAACGTTGAGTCCCATGGCGGTCATACTGTGATGACCCAAAGGGGCGTGGCACAAAAGCAACAAAGTCAGAAAAGTAGGTAAAGTCCCTTTAATGCCTCCAACTTGGCCCCCAATGTCCTGTTATCATCGGCTGGAGAAAAAAACTCTCCCAAGAACAGTTTTTAAAGGGAAGAAATTCCATTGGAACCCAAAGTACGTATCAATTATAAATAAAAACCAACACAAACCACAAAGCTGCAGCAATTAACGAGACAGAGCAGGATAAGGAATTGCAGAACTCAAAAGATAACGAAACACATACAGTTGAGAGGACGCCAGAACCCAGATAAGACGTGACAAACAAATATAATGCACGCTTTGCTTCCAGAAAGGTGCTGTGCACACCCTTTAAATCCTATTTTCCCAGCTGCAACTAATGAAGGGAATCAGGGCCTTTTCCTCCCCCATAAGCCACATTGCTCCCTTCTCCGTTCCTCCCTGCATGCCCTAGGATGCAGAGGGGGTGGCCCTGATTCTTTCTCTGAATGCCCAGCCAGACTGTGCCCTTCCCCAGTTTCCTCCACAGCCACCAGAGCAACACTCCCACTCCCTGTCCGCTGCTTGACCTCCCCCTCGGAATCAGATTCCAACAAGGGCGTGACATGTACATCAAGGACTACCTGCATTGCGAAGTTGGCAGGGCTTCCAACGATGTGCCTTCTGCCTCATCTTTGGAGGGTGGGAATCGAGTCATAATTCTAGAAGCCTCATTTTGGGGGTGAAGGGGGAATCCGTAGCAGAGCCCTGCCTCTGCGGGTTGGGACAAACTCTTTAATTTGTTCCCCGAAAGAAGAAAATGTGTGTAGTTGAACGGTGGGGGTCCTTGGTGCTTTCTGAGCTTGGTGGATTTTGTAAAAAAAAAATATTGCATATCCCCGGGTAGCATCATCAGGACCAGAAGGGAGTGGGGGTTTGTGGCAAGGAAGAGGAGGAGGAGGATCATGTGGGGGGTCCTTGGTGCTCTCTGAGATGTTGGCTTTCTTGCAAACATCTCATGGCCCAACTAGGGAACATTATCAGTGGAAGAAGGGGGAGAGGGGTTTGTGAAGTGGAAGAGGAAGAGGAGAGGAGGCAGAAGGAAGAGGAAGAAAAGTGCTATGGGGTCCTTGGTGCTCTGAGCTGGGTGGTTTTCTTGCAGACATTTCATGACCCAACTAGGTAACAACGTCAGTGCTAGAAGGGAATGGGGTGAGGAGGAGGAGGAAGATGAGAAGTGGGGGGAAAGGGGAGGACTGTGGGGCCTTTGGTGCTCTTTGAGCTTGGTGGTGAACTTGCAGATCCCTCTATTTTTTGTCCTCTATTTTCCTCCCTCCCTTTTTGTCTATTTTCCTTCCTTTCTTCCTCCCTCCCTTCCTCTATTTTTTGTCCTCTATTTTGCTTCCTTTCTTCCTCCCTCCCTCCCTCTATTTTTTGTCCTCTATTTTCCTTCCTTTCTTCCTCCCTCCCTCCCTCCCTCTATTTTTTGTCCTCTATTTTCCTCCCTCCCTCGCTCCTTTCCTTCTTTCCCACATCAGCTGCAGGCAGCAAGAAAAAGATTGAGAAAGTATGCAAAGGATTCTTGAAAAATAAATAAATAAGTGCTGT